CGTCGTAACAAGTGGTCTGTACTACCATCGTCATCTGAGATAACTTTGGCATCTATCCAGCACAAAAGCTTTACTCTTGGACATTGCTTTTTAACGTTGCAACACAAACAAAACAAGTATCCCTCTTTCAAGTTTTCAGTATTACGTGACCTCTGTGCAGATATTTTGCTAGGACATGACTTTCTTAAGCTTCATAAGTCCCTGGAAATCTCATTCAACGGTGACAAACCTTCTTTTTCCCTTTGTGGTCTAATTGCTGCCAAAATTGAACCTCCCACTTTGTTCGAGCATATTGACCCAAGGTGTAAGCCAATCGCCATAAAGTCCAGGCGACATTCTGCAGACGACGAGGCCTTCATTGCTTCTGAAGTAAAGCGTTTACTTGACCAACACATCATTGAACCCTCGAAGTCCCCATGGAGAGCGCAAGTGCTCGTCACGACAAATGAACGACAGAAGAAGCGAATGGTGGTTGACTATAGTCAAACTATAAACCGATTTACGCAACTAGACGCTTATCCGCTCCCCAGACTTGAAGATTTAAGTACTAAAATAGCTCAATATCGTATTTTCAGCACGCTTGATCTTGAAAGTGCGTATTATCAGATACCCATTAAAGAAAGCGACAGAATCTACACGGCTTTTGAGGCTTGCAACAACCTCTATCAGTTCCGTCGAATACCTTTCGGAGTAACGAATGGGGTAGCCTGTTTTCAAAGGGTAATGGATGACATAATACGCGCCGAACAACTTACCGGGACATATGCGTATGTGGATAATGTTACCATTTGTGGAAAGAATCAAGAAGAACATGATCGAAACCTCCAGCTTTTCCTCACCGTAGCACAAAAGTACGGCCTTCAGTTAAATCACGATAAAAGCACGATTTCCACCACTAAGCTCAGACTCCTCGGCTATGAAATTACTGAAGGTGTCATCAAACCAGACCCTGAACGCTTCAAGGTATTGCAAGAACTGCCCGTTCCGAACGACATCAAGTCTCAACAACGAGTGGTAGGATTGTTCGCGTACTATTCTCGTTGGATAAGCCGTTTCTCGGATAAGATCTACCCAATCACTCACAATACAACCTTTCCTGTCCCTGAATCTGTTATAAAAGCATTTGAAAGTTTGAAAAAGGAGTTGATGGATGCAGCCTTGGTCACTATCGACCCGAGAATACCTTTGGTGCTCGAAACTGATGCATCTGATGTCGCGATTTCTGCTACACTCAATCAAGATGGCAGACCGGTCGCATTCTTCTCACGTACACTGTCTGCCAGCGAAAAACACCATTCCGCTATTGAGAAAGAAGCTTGCGCAATTGTCGAAGCAGTGCGCAAATGGAGGCATTACCTACTCGGGACCCATTTTAAAATCATAACTGATCAGCGATCCGTTGCATTCATGTACTCAACACAACAAAAAGGGAAAATAAAAAATGACAAAATCCAACGGTGGCGGATGGAGTTGTCGCCTTTTTCTTTTGACGTTACCTACAGACCAGGCATAGAAAACAAAGCTGCTGACACGCTTTCTCGAAGTGTCTGTGCGAACACTTCATCTAACCTGGATCTAAAACGCTTACACACAACCCTGTGTCATCCTGGAGCAACACGCATGATGCATTTCGTTCGTGCCAAGAATCTACCATTCTCCCTAGAGGATATCCGACTCGTCATTAAGCAGTGTCAAGTGTGTGCGGAACTAAAACCACGTTTCTTCAAGTCATCTGGCGGTACCCTCATTAAAGCCACACAAACGTTTGAACGCTTAAGCATTGACTTTAAGGGACCACTGCCTTCGACGACTCGAAACAAATATCTACTGACGATCGTAGACGAATATTCCCGTTTTCCGTTCGCCTATGCATGTCCAGATATCAGTTCGTCTACGGTGATATCATGCCTTGTGCCACTGTTCGCCACATTTGGCCTGCCAAGTTTCGTGCATTCGGATCGTGGCTCATCATTCATTTCGGATGAGATCAAACGATTTCTTCATGAAAAAGGTGTAGCCACCAGTCGGACCACTCCATATAATCCAAGGGGGAACGGCCAGGTGGAAAGATTGAATGGAACTTTGTGGAAGGCTATTACGCTTTCATTACGATCAAAGGGTCTTCAAATCAGTCACTGGGAAGCCGTTTTACAAGACGCTCTCCACTCGATTCGTTCTTTGTTGTGCACGGCCACCAATGCTACTCCACACGAGCGGATGTTTCATCACAATCGAAAATCCGCAGTCGGTACGTCCTTGCCACAGTGGTTGCTTTCGCCAGGACCAGTTTTGATGCGGCGAAACACACGATCTTCAAAGTACGACCCCCTAGTCGAAGAGGTCGAGCTCCTGGAATGTAACCCTGAGTACGCATATGTCAGACGCCCTAACGGCATGGAAGAAACGGTCTCCCTACGCCACCTGGCGCCTTCAGCAGATTTCGGATGTGCTCCAGCATCCGAACAGCAGCAACCGCAGTCCAACGCTGATTCATTTATTAAGCCGGAACTATCTGACTCTGCTTCGGAAAGTGAAATGTCGAATTCTTCTGAACACCCATTGGTTATACAACAACAGCAGACACGGCCGTATGTCCTGCGCAACAGAGAGGCCTGACATTATTCAACTATAAATCAAACTATTGAGAACTTTCATCTCTGCGGGGGGTGAATGCTGTATATTTGCACTGTTTTTCAAACGTTTCATCATTTATTGCTAAATCACTTTCTTCCGTTTTCAGCTCTCAGTGTCAAAGTTTTGGATGAATAAAGCCTGGCTTTCGGGCCCTCAGTCTTTTCCATTGTCATTCTGCACCCCAACCCTCGTCGTACACAACACTGTATAAGTTCTGGGGATGTGGTTGATGAGATTACTTCTTGAATCTGGAAGGCCAGGACAGCTTTTGCCAACCTCCGATACCTATGGTGCCGAAGTGACATCAGTTTTTCAAGGGCAGATTTTACACTGGTTGCGACCCACACTGCTTCATGCATCAGAGACAGCGCAGAGGACATATGAAAGATGTCAGTGTTTGACCATCATTGTCTCCGAAGCATTAGTCAGGTCCGGTGGGAGAACGTATTAGCAATGCTGATGGTCCAGATGGTAACAGGAAGAAGGAACTCTCTCGCGATAGATGAGTTACTCATGCTTCGTAAGTTACGGCGGTTAGGACATTCTCCGCATGTCAGAAGACCGTCTGCCTCGCAGCGCTCTTTTCATCCAGACCTGTGCTGAGTGGAAGCGACCGAACAGTGGACACAGTATAGTCTGGCAGCGAAGTATGAAAACTCTAACCAGTAAACCTAATCGGTTCGACTACTGTCGCCCTCTGGAAGGAGGCCTTGAGACTCAACTCATCAGTGGACAATGACAGTAGCAGATATGGACCAATCACGCAGTAAGTGGTGCCAGTGCTAGTTAACTGAACATATCATTACTTCAAAGGCTTGGCCGTATCTCCCGCACTCTTCTACTTTCCGATGATCGAAGATGCGACAGCTGGAACCAGTATATCTATGGTACACGGTTTATAGCTAATAAACAGATTGACTGTATAGTAATTCAGCAAAGAAATTCAACACCATCCAATACCTGCATAATTTCATCCAAATAACTACCACCACCCAACTTAAATGGGACTTAAACTAATGTGTTCGGGATTGGTTCACATTCTCGACTATAGGGCCCCATTTCATGGACTCCTAAGGAGCCACACCGGTGTTAATTACAACATGTGAAAGAACCAGTGACAGCACACTACCACCTTTTAGCCCCCTCAATCTTGCATTAACACTCCACACTTTGCAGGTGTGAAGCGCATACCTAACCGAGGTACAATTATTTAGATTATTTGATGTTGTCTAAGTTACCATGGCATTAGTTCCAAGAAGAGCTGTTTTTTGTTCATTCAATACCTGTGAACGAACAGATGGATTATCTCGACCCGTTGAAGACCGAGGGTGAGTCTCCATAATCATATCGATGGTGAATTGGAGGGGAAAGGTAAAACAGGACAGCCTTGCTTGACATCACTTGATGTAGTGGACTCACGTGGAAGCTTCCCATAGGCATTCAGGCGCCCTCAGGAGATGTCGTACAGCGCCATACAGAAGGCCAAGAGCTAATGGAGGATAGCTTTGCTTCATGGATAGTGTCATGATGCATGACGGTTCACAGAGTTAAAAGCGCCTTTAAACCATCATTGTTGGTTACTGGAAAAAGTACCACCCTTTATCTCATCAACCAACAGGACAAACAAAGTGGTGATGTTTACACCCGATTGTAAAAATAGTGACGCCATCGTACTACATGCTTGACCGTAAGGTAGTCAAGGGAGTGATGGCAAGATGGAGACGTGAGGGTAAAATAAAGACAGACTACCTGAAATAATTGAGTAGAACAAATTATAAGGAATCGATGGATACCCAGCTGAGATAAGGACACTTCAAGCGAACGCTGCACTGACGGTGCCTTCTGCCCAGTGCAGAAGCAAGTAAACACGGAATCCCATACTGAAATGAGATCATCTGTTTCGAAGACCAGTATGATGATTGCCCCATTCACAATAACCGATACCGTGTTACGGCAATGGGTCCAACTCGTAAGGTCGTTCACGACAGAACTTACTTTCTTCACGAGTTTTGTTGCTTAAACTGAGTACCAGCATTAGAAAAGTACATCCATTTGCGCAAAAACTTAGTTTCTACGGGATATCCGAATGAATGCCAGCTGGACCTATCGTTCAGGATGTTCTCCTTCAACTGAAAGTGCTGCACCAGGCCGCCTCATGGGTATCAGTATGCTTTATCAGTATTCATGCACCACAGTAGCAAAAAGTATCACTATCGGCGAGTTTGGAAACGAGTCAAGGTTACGATTCTGGCTTCTCTCTGCACACACGAACAAAAATATTCAACAGTATAATATGGTTGTGGATGGATGCAAACCGTCAGAAAAGAAAATTTCAGGAAACCGGGAAGTATGGCACTCAAACGTACCGCACACACTGAAGCAGAGGAGTCTCTGATGTGGTCGGCTGGGGAGCAGACGGGTCTCGTTCCAACCAGCAGGTCTGGCAGCAGTGTGCAGGACAGCGAATCAACTGGAAGGCGGAGGAACGACTCGTTTTGTGCTCGGATAGGGATGGTCTACATACGGTTCCCGGCCATTCGAGCGCGCAATCTCGATGAAAATGTCGACCACAATCACGAACCTACAGCAGGAAAACAAATAGTGTGGGATGACCAACGCGATTCAAAGTAGGTCGCTCATGGAGAAAGGGTGTCCACTGCCGAACCACAATCATTGCATCTTCCATCAACGCTTGTCATTGGACACTGAAGGAGCTGTCACGTAGTGGACTTAGAAGTAGAGACGACAGACCGGATGATAAACCCTCATGTGCATTCACTTATGGTGATACGCACAGCAAGTGGATCGGTGTGGATAAAGAACGTAGTGAACAAACATAACATATCTTTCAACCAGCAAGTTGAAAATTGCGTATCATTCAGCCATCGTTAGCGAATATCGAAAACACAGGTTAGATTTTCTCCACAATCAAAAAAGTGCAACCCAAAGTGCCCCTATGCCGAACGTTAGAAAAACAAAGGTAACCAAGTAGTCTATGGATGCGCGAACAAACATGACGATATTCTGAAATCAAATGAGGCAGTTGGAAAGCGCGTTTTCGGTTGTGCAACGAGTACTTCCATTGAAGAATGTGTCCAGCATCAGAAGCTGCGTTGGTTGGGACATGTGTTGCGTATTCCGAACCATCGTTTGCCGAAGATAGTGCTGTTTTCCACGCCCAATTCAGAGTGGCATAAACAGAGAGGTGGCAGAGGAGTATGAAGGAGATCAGGTAACGCTTGGGTGCTGTCTGTGCTACTCGCCTTCCAGGACGGGGACCGCGTGATCCTCACTGTGCCTGGTTGCAGACACTACAAGATATGGCTGCCAACCGATGTCAGTGGTATACTCGTCGTCAGTTTCTATCCATATCGCCTGAGTGAGTGCCCGGATTTATATGCACCTCGGAATGATTGTGGTAAGCTAGCACTAAGTCCCTCCCCCGTCCAACTTCACTCTTCTCTTTACAATAAGGCTTTCAAATAAATCATGGCTGTACGTCAGTGGAGCATAGATGTTGAACACTGATGTTTGGCTATCGATGATGATGATGAATCAACTTCCAACTATCAATGCTGCCGACTTTCACCATGGCTCAAAGACAAGGGAGCATTTTCTGTGTTTTACAAGTCGGGTTGAAGCTAGAACGACGCTTCAGCACTTGAAACTGAAAATGCTGTACCGTGGACGACTTCCTCTTTCAGCCAGCCTGCTGAAGGGTTTAGATGATTTTACACACAACAACAAAGGTTGTACATGACATTGATAATACTTTAGCTGGTGACATCGGTGGTGCGAACTAAAAATACCTCCTTCTCAGATATATTGTACGTAGTCCATATTTCCTGTTTTGGTTAAAAAGCGATTCTCAAGCCGGCAGTTGGGTTCTCCTGAGGGGAGAGCTTTCTTCATTGTTCGTTGTGCACAGACGTTTCAAACAGAACTGCACCATTGAGGAACATAGACACGTGGTTCCATGTATGAAATACACAATCAATAAAGGGTTTTACAAGTGAGGTCATAAGGTAGGTACTTAATCACTCACCATCACTCAGAACGGTGTTCCAAAACTTTGATATGCGTTTTTGCCAGAGGGTTAGTCATAAACTTACACCTTGTTCACCAGTTTGCCCTCGTTTGTATTCTCCAGCACAAATCTATTTTCATATTTCGGGCTTCGATTTACCAGGAGCAGGCTCATCCGCTCCCTGTAAATAATAGATGACGGGCTTCCAGCCTTTCCTCGCAGAACCTACCTATCTTCTTCGACAAACAAACCAATGAGGGCCGTGGACATCACCTGAAGTTGTCCTGTGACGCAGTTCAATAGCAAGTGGTGCTTGCCCACTCTGATTCAATCTCAGGTCGTTCTTATTTTCTTGTCTGAACTTATTATCATATTCAACTAGAAGCTACCAATGATTTCATTTCGAAAGGATTCCTTATTAATGACGGTCAGATGGGTTAATCCTTTCGGAAAGAGGTACACAAACAAACCTGGCTGGTTTAAAGGTAGGTTTGGTCGAGTATTGTAATCTTTGTTAACTGCTACTAGGTCGGGTACCGATAATAAAGCTCTCCAAGAAATGGATCCAGAAACGGTCAGGTAGCTTCAAAAACGAAAAAAAATTGAACTAATTTTTATCAAGAGGGAACACTAGAATAAATCGAACAATAGGACAAGCACGTAACTGGTGCACTTAGTAGGTCCCACCTGAGTTAATAATTGAAGACCATCAGTTGAACGTTCTGATACATTTAGAGGGGTTCGCCTTTGTCCATCCACCGGTAGACACTTCAGTCTGCTTGACATAGGCCAGCACTAGGTCCCCTCCCTCCCTCACTCTTTTTCTCTTCTTTTACCTCTAGGGCTTTTAATATAGTTATATGTATGTATATACACATACATACACATACACATACTTTGGGATTCACCTCATCAGACTGGCACTGCCCTTGGCATGATCTCGAATGAGACGTTTCTCTCTTTTCTCCCATATTCTCCTGTTACTCTTTCGCATTCATCGCTTGCACTCACTTTTTACGTTTGTAACCATGCTCTTCAAAAATAAATGATAATAGTTGTGCGGCAGTGAAGCATCAGTGCCAACACTGATGTTGCTGTCTTTGATGATGATGATAATTCCTTCGGGTTTATATCGGGTTACACACACAGTTCAGCGCCAACCGCATCGTAGATTACTTGTGACGCGCATCGTTCGACGTGACAGATAGATCCGGAATCATATCACCCCACTGTGTGGGTTTCCAGTCATGCGTTTAAGGAAAACAGGCTCGAATCTCAAAGAATCTATGAAACAGCTTGTTAAGGTTTTTGCTACCAGTAGACTGCCTAAACATTTAAAAGGTTGGGCTCATACTCTCATATGAAGTGACTGGAGGGGAAATGTTCGCTACGTGAATTAGCTGTGGATTCACACAATATAAACAAACTAATGAATGTGACAGAAACGTACTGGACATAAATACAGGCAATTCAGATTTCCTTTTGCCTTTGGGTCTGCCGGTTTACCACAGATAGTGCAAAGATAATCACCACTCAAGCATTCAGAGCACTTGAACTTGTCTGGACGGTTGTTATCTGGAAAGAAAAAGGTGGTTGACTAGTTAGGATTGAACCATTGAAAAAAGAAATTAGGGAAACAGAGCATGAAGGACAATACTACTTGCTATTTCGAACATTTTGTCTACAAATTGAGGGTAAGTGCGGTGTTCTACATAAAAAAACTCAGACTTTTCATACCTTTTGTTGAATGGCGAAAAATGGACATAAAGCCCAACCTTTGCAGAAATGACATCGTTTAGATGAAAGCTGGACACATCCCAACCTGCTGAACCTCGCCAGTAAGCCCATGGAATCGGTATACAAGTACACATTGCAGCATATTTATACACCTACAAAGATGCACGAAAGTAAGCTACGGATTCGCCCTGATTACGATATTACTTATAGGGATGTTGTGAACTCCTAGACAGACCACGAAATTCCAAGAGTTCATCCGGCAATCGTGGTCTTCGAAGCTTCATTTGGCTTATTTCGTACTTGAACACCAGATTGGACACCTAAGAACTTACAAACGAAAGTTATGTTAACGCGAGGCACGATAGTTTACCGTTTGTAGTAGTGTTTTCTATATATTTTCACCTCTCACTGCAATAACCATAACGAACAATGTCACACAAATTCGTCCAGGTTTGGTGATTGAATTATGATGTGCAAGGATCCGGCGACATGAACTTTCAGTTGTGAGCCGTGAAAGTCATAAAACGGTGTACAGCACAAGTTAAGCAGCATCACTCTATTTTGACCTGCGGGAATATTCGGTCAGTTAAGCTATCGACGGTTGTAGAATTTCGTTTCTGTGAGTTAATTATGGTTCCTGAAGTAAACGATTGCCTTATATTGAACAAATGAGAGTTGCTCTGGTAGTCGTGACCCAAATTAACCTAAACCAGTAAGATGTATACATTCGGATTACTGACGGAGCGCGAAGTGAATTCGAAGGGTACAATTTCAACAGTACTGGGGATGAAGAAGAGCTGGAATATACCTGGTGGTGGCGGTGTTTTGTATCGCATGCAGGATGGGTGTACCAAACGGCCACAAGGGCCGAGGCATTTCACCATTTGACCGGGAACATTGGAGTAGACTTCACACGCGGGACATACTGGCTGCCACCGATATTGCGCCGGAGAGACGATAAGACGATGGATCTCGATGTCCAACTCGCGTGGTTCGTCGCCGCTTTTTGCAGACCCGTCTGTGGGTTTCTTCTACAGTAATGGACAGAGGAAAGATAAAACATAAAGGATTATTTTCACGCAAAAATAGCAATACACATGAGTCCCGATAATGTGGTGAGGTTGGGGAGTGAGCATTGAAGAAGACTGACTGTGATCGACAGAACAGTGGATGTCTGACGGAAAAGACAGATCACGACTAAATTCAAACCATCCAATCGAGATAAAAATGACCCCACAGCCCACACCATGTGCAGCCAGTTGAAGCTCAGTGAGTTGTGTGAGTTATCTTCGATGACAAAAAATAATAGTCCTGAACCTATGAGCACAGCTTCTGTGCCATATGATTAACTCAGGTAGAAATCAACATGACTCAAATATCCGTTTCGAGACTAGCACTGGCACCGTGACACTTGTGACGCAGGTTGGTCGTGATAAATTTCTTTTCTTAAAAGGTCAATGGGCAACTCAATGATGTGATGATAGAAAAAGACCCTTTGACTGGCGATTCGGATTGATATCACCAAAAATGCTACTGGAGGTTAGAATCAGAATGGCTTATCAATTTGTTTTTTCATTACCCCTTCCTCCTCCACAATAAATTCGAAAAGGCCGAAAATGCGGACTTATTTTGGAGGGATCATCAATGATGGGCAATCGAATTCGTCAGGGAGAAAGTACTATGCAAATGTTAAGCAACATAGTAGAAGCAAGGTTATCCGGTCTGAAGAGAATATTGCAAACTGCGTAACATGCACATCCAATCTGTTCACGTCCTGATACTCTTCGACAGGCTACTAACAAGTTGCATATGAAGTGACGATAAAAGTACCACGGTACTGCAAATTCACAACAGGACTGAAAAATAAAGCTTCGAAAACATACTTACTTTATGTGGCTTGGTTGCGGATGTTTCGTCCTTTGATTTCTTCAGACAGGGCTTCGGAGTAAACTCGATGCTCACTGAACTCTTCCGTTTCGGTCTATCAGACTTGAAAATGGAAAAAGTGTGATCATGCCAGTTTGCGATTTTCGCCCTATTCAAGTCTTCTGTCCCAATTAAGATTTGAATATAACGACTTCTTTCTTGTTGGGATGAAGTGTGGAAAAGCCTATGATGTTACGACGATTCTGGCTTGAAGTCATAGCTTACGCCAGGAGCATCACTGATTAGCTGGAAAAACTGAAACTAGCGAGGATGATAGGATCAAGTGATATAGAACGAATTCACAGTAGTTTTCAGTCTGAGGTACTTTAGGGGACTTGCATATGCCACTTGCAAAATCTGTTCGCCTGTTGAGAACACTCGAAAGGGGAGACAACTCCATTAAAACGAGCAGTCGCTTGAAAACATTGTGTCCTAATCCCTTGGAACATGCTTGAACCTGACTTACTCTCAGTCGCACGAATGAAGGTGAAGATGCATCAGCTTACTTGTCACAGAGAATACACTTTTTCCCTATCAGTAGTGTATTTTCTCATCCTGTCAGCTGCTACTTGCATTTTAACATCAAGTCAGATTCGTTTTGAAACTTTGAGTATTCACTTTCAGTTTTTACTTTTATTGAAAGATAACTTGTACAAAACCCAAAAAGCCCCTTGAATTTTTTCGAAACTGTTAAACCTACATACGTTCAGTTCGGCATAAGGAGGGGTGACTTGGTCAGGTGTGAGTTGTGGTAAATCTCGGTTGTTGAACACGATCACGAGTGGTTAACTAGGTGAAATGAGGCCAAAACACTGTCCAGATGGACTCAACATGTATCTATTCCACTTGCGGCACAAGAATACTCGTGACCATCAACTGTCAAGTAGCCCATTTCCTGATTGATTCCCGGCGGACATTACAAAGCTTCCTTAAAAGCCATGGGGTTTAGTTACCAAATTCTGCTACGTTTGTTCTGTGGTGCCTAGGGGCAAGTCAGATAGGGACAAGCCCTAGATAGTCACACGAACGCTATTTCCTTACGTTTCCGTTTAGGATTTAGAATCATTTAAACATCTCACATGCGCCGATTGCGCCACACAGCAGCTGTTAAACAATTTCTGACATGTCAAACGAGTTCAGCTTCAGGATTCTGGTAGGCTTAGTATTAAAAGCTGTCTGATCGGTCACACGCACAGTTGCAGCTTCTATATGTGTTTCGAAAGAACTACGGAAAACTAGCAGTTCTCAGTGGTGAATGGATGGCAAAGTGCAAGTGAAGGCAGCATGTTTCTGGCTTTCGAGAGATCCATACAGGTGCCAAGTGATGGGTTGTACAGACAGCGGTTATATGCAGGCTGAGGTATTGCCAAGAATCCAAAACCTAGATGAGGGGACCACTACCGCCTTACAACCAAAGCCTTCAATACAAAGACTCGAATACAAGGCAGCGGTGGTTGGCGTATAACAATCAGAGTAGTTTGGCCTTGAAACAAAAAGTCAATATGAACGTTCTGCTTTCCAACCGGGTGGACCTAGTTAAGACGAGGACCAGTATTAAGCTGCCTGTGCTCCCTTGATCAACTTACTATGAAAGACTGCGAGTGTCACACAAGCAACTCGTACTATGGCTCCATGGGACATGGTGGCGCACAAACCATCCCAGCATGCCAAAATTCAGTCCCAACCTCCCAGAAACTTCATGAGTACTCATCAGGCCGGGCCACCCTCATGTAGGAGTCAGTTCTCGTGAACTGGACTAAAAGTGCCTGTCAGATAGAGGTATCAGGTTAACAGATTTAGGTACAAAAACATCGCTGCCAAAACTGACTTGTGCTCGTGATGGATGACCACGATTACACCAAAGTGGCACAGGTCGGTACGCAATGTTACAGTGCTGTTAACAAACTCAGTATGTGCTCTAGGCAATGGATAAGTAGTGTGAAGACAGAAAAAAAGAGTAAACAGCAGAAAATGTTAAGCAATCATCTGAATGGATCACCTGGGCAGAAGATTGGAATAATCCCAGTTTGTTTTGAAGGTAACTGCGCTTTGTGCTAATGTCAAAGGCAGGCCACTGAGCTTTAAGTTCTTCCTCCAAGGCAACTCGGTCCAAATCAGGATTCTTTGAAATCCGCGATTCCGACTCTTGATGTACATAAGTCTCAAGCGCTTCTGCTTCTTCCTCAGCAGTCAAAGGAACGTTTGCCATTAGTTTAAGAAGCTCGTCTGAAATTTGAATAAAAACGACAGACGGTAGAATTACTTTCTTCCGTTTTGCTTATATGCCGTGATTTATCCACCGCGATTTTCCCAAATTTCTCAATACGTTTATCTGGTGGCATGTTCATAGCCTCTTCTGCTTCCCGCCAAGATTGAACCCAGATATTACGACTACTTGAAGTAGACTTGGAGTCGAATTTGCTTTTCTCCTAGCGGAAAAAGGCCTCACATGCACGTTAGAAAAGACTTACGTTTTTGTCCTTGCAGGACTTCAGCTTCTCCTGCACATACTCATCAAATTTTTTCTTACCATTAAAAGGTATCAGATTATTTGGATAAACCCAAGCCCGTTCGACTAATGGGCCTAGGAATTGAACATGGTAACATGCACCCCTGTCTATGGGAAAATGAAGTTACACGTTCCAGACTCACGTGTATTACGTATGAAGGATTCACCATCTGGGGTGTAGTAGACCATACATGGCCACCACGGATGTGAACCGACTTTTGCCCAGAATACAGATCCAAGTTCAAAAGAATCCATCGGCTCACTCATGATTAGATATGAGTAAAGAAAACTATTTATGTCCAAAGGTAGTGGAGTAAAGGCTGGAAATTGTGGCGGGTGGTGTCAAACGACTGCAAACAACCAAAGGAAACAAATCTGAAGATCAATGAAGATCGAAACTGGTGTCCGAAAGTTGAGAACAAACAAAAAATAGGGTACTACGAAATGTGCGTAGTAAAAACAATCAACAATGATTCGACAAATACTTTCACTTGGCCACAAATTAGGTTTTGACAGGAGACTCAGCTGAATTCAGCTGAATCTCGCGTTCATGGTGGTCAACTGCGCACTAATGAAGTCTCCTTGGCTGGAAACGAAATGTCAGCAAGCCAATTGCCTAGCTCAGCGAACAGATTAAGGCACATCTAAACAGCCAGTCTTCAGCTAAGCTGCTAGCACGTAAACCGGTACGCCTGCAACCATAAGTCGTTGCGTAAATCCTTGGTGTAAGTAACACAAAGAATGAGTGTTTTGTGACAGTAAACTGCTTTCGTTTGCCTCATTTTAAGAGCTTAGAATTTTGGGTTGATCTTTAAAGACCATACCTCGTCAGTGCCAACCTCGAACTACATAACAAGGAACGGCGGTCCCAGCTGCCGTAGTTTTTTATCACTGGCAACGGAAGAGAGTGGGGCAACAAAACGATAGAAAAGACAGATTGCATCACTTCAAGGTAGACAATATTAGTAAGAGATAGGTTGCTGATGGAGACGATGTATGATTTGTTGGTAAGTAGTGTGGGTAACTATGCATTGGACGTGATAGCTGTCGTATAGGGACGTCAGCGACCGCAGCCTGGGTATTTGTGAAATCTTACTAGATCGCTAACGTTTATCAGGCGCAACGACCGTGTGAACTGTTGAGCGGCTCGAAGTAGCAGGTCCACCGTTTGCCAACTGAAGTGGGTTAAAACGGCATATCCTCACCTGGGATCTGACTCCGAATTCACACAGTTCGTTGCTTGGCCCGCGTAATTCTTCACCAAGTACCCGTTCACGGTAATCCCGAAAAAGATGCGTCACCCCACATAATACTCCAGCAGTAAATTTGCTATCGTTCCGCCTTGAATGTCTGTATCAGCAAGATGTTCTCCTTGAGTATCTGATCACAAGGTGAAGCGTATAATTTGTAAGTATATTGTGCTTCGCTATCAACAAAGCTTCTGGAAACGGACCGAAATAACGCTATCGGTGTTGGTGACGGTTTGATCGGTCGCCTCGATGTAATTATCAGGTTTGAACGTTCCAAAGTTCTGACGGGATACGCTGGCCAGAACTTCGCACTTCAAGATGCAGTCACGTCAGGAAGGTCAAAGGAAAACAACCAAGCTACAGAAACCACGTACTGAGGTCGTATTGCAAGACGTCTGAAGGTATATTCGTAATGTGCTAAGTGTAAAAATACCCGTTTCTTTCAGGCGACAATATGTTTGCATTTAAAAGAGCCAATACTTTATTTCCCTGCAGATGAGTTATGAAATGAAACGCCAAAATCCGCACACTCCGAGTGCCTAAAGGCGGACCCTGACTACCGGTGCTTTATTCAATAAGAATGCAATGTTTTCCAAAAACGAAGGCTGTAGTGCTATTTAAAAAGTATTTGATATGTGTGGTGTATCCGTTTCGTGTTCCCTATGCCCCCGGGCAAGGCAAAACTCCCACCAGCAAAGTCAGGCTTTTACATACGAACCTTGAATAAGGCCTTTGAATTCAGCTCCCTTCAGTGGAATAAGAGATAAAAAATATCAGCGGTTACAACTGTTTCGAGGACCGGAGTGAAAATTCCTATTCCACTACTGTCTTTTCATCTCATATTTTCGCTCCTCTCGAAATCCACAATCTACAGAACCCACGTTCAACATCTCCACCCCCGAAAGGAAACAGATGTTTAGCTTTCATACACTCATGGAGACAGGAGATCCCAGTATATGGTAGAAACAAAGAAGCCCCGTGTCCCATGAAAAAGTGGTCTACAGCCTCGAAACATTGATATAAGTACACCTGATCATCACATTGAGGCAAAATGCCATCAGTGGGTTTACCACAATGTTTGTGAAACGCACTCAACTTAAGACCAGCACGCGACAAACAGTGGATAGACGGTCTGCCATACAAGTACCACGTCCTGTAGCAGTTCCCACCAGCAGTTCCGAACCAGCAAAGCAAGTAGCTCCGATGACACTCAGCTTTATAGTAGCTATCTTTGTCCCCTATTACCACCTCATGATTGGTACTTCAAGGATCCCTTCCAGTAAGATTCAGGATGATAAACGCTGTTCCTTAGTACATGGTGGTCGGAGATGCATAGTACATATCTTAAATATACCATTTTGATGGTCTCCAGTCGTTACCTGAGTGGCTGTGTTTCGTCACCATGTATCTGCTTAATCAACACCTCACTGGGTTCAGCTCTTCAGTAAATAGACGCCATTTCATCCAAAGGAAACAAAAGGGCTGGAATACTGTTCGGTTATCCGAGCCTAGACAGGAGCAGCCGAGATGCTGAGGTCTACGCAAAACGCGCACACCTAGCTTATCCACTGAGAAGCTGGTGAGCCCAGAAATCAAATGACGCTATCCGAATCGGTTCCTCGAACGTCTGCCCAACGGTCAGATGTCGGATATTAACGACTACTGGAAACACATATCCACGGTGCTACTCGGAGCCGGAACTTCCGTTTGCGGTACAACTAGGCCATCCTCATCCAAACACTGGACCTCTGATAGGACCGTGGCTTTGCTGGAGGCTCAGCGATAGAGTCTTCCTGGCCGCAACCAAAACTACGCTCGACGCCAGGTAAAGCTGAGTGTCCGTGCAGACCGTGAAGCTTGGTAGATCAGAAAAACCTGAGAAATGGAAGAGGCGAAAAATGCTCACTGTGCCACTTGATTCGTTTGACTGGTCCTCGGGAGTCTCTCATCAGAAAAACTACCGGGGACCAAAATGGCTCACTTATATGGCAAGAGAGAACGTTTGGACCGTTGGACACAGTACCTCGAACGGCGATTCAGTTGGCTGACTACCTCCAGTACGAAATCCTGGCCTTCAATAGAAAGGCGGACTGTGAATATGGAGCCGCCCCTAATCTCAAGTGTCCTGGTTTGTATCTCTATTCAAGCATGACCGTGTGGCTGGTCCTGAAGATCTTCCACATGCTCTTTTAAATGATAGCAGCGAATCCCTCCGTCAGTGCCTGTCTAGCCTATGTGTGCTTATCTGGTAGAAAAAGGCCAGGCGAATCGACAATAGTACCTATTTTCAAGAAGGTACTCGTGGTGAATGTGGTAACCACAGAGATGAGTTCGGATCCTATGGTGACAAGGTTTCTGGCGTAACTGACTCTTCGTCGTCTTACGGGGGAACACGAGTCCTTGACCGTGAACATCAAGCGAGATTTCGACCGGGCGGAGTGTTCGTTTGCGTAACAGGGACTTCCATCGAAGAATGCGTTCAGCACAAGTAGTTCCGTTTCTTAGGCCATGCATTACGTATGCTGAGCCAGTTTGCCAGAGTGCTGTTTCTAGTGGTCAATTCAGAGTAGCGGAAGAAGACAATTGGCCATCCTTTGACCTGGCAGAGGGTTATAAGAGAGATTAGGGAATGTTGGAGTGCAGTTGATGCCACTCGCCTTCCAGAAATGGAGCCACGTGATCTCCACTGCGCCTGATTGTAGAGGCTGCAAGATATGGCTGATAATCGATGTCAACGGCATTATCGTTGGCGATTTCTATCCAGACTGCCTGAATGTCTGGAGGTGAAGGTATATCGGAACTGCTAGGACTAAGTACTCTCCACGTGCTTTTATTTTTCACAATAAGACCTCCAAATAAATCGTGGCTACACGGCAGCAAAACACCACTGATGCCGTGCTGCCGGTGATGATGATGAGTGCACAAGCGCCTGGCTCTCACCACCTTATTCCTCTCGTCCCTGAAGCAACTGAAATCACAGTAATTCGTTGCACAGGTTGACTTGGAAGAATTGTTCAGCTGTAGCACTTTTTCGGTGCCTAGTTGCCAAGGCCACCCGAGGAAGCACGAGGGCCGGGTTGCCCAAGCCTAGACAAGGGCAGTCGAGAGGCAGAGGGCGGGTTCGAACCACGGACCTTCCCGTCAGTGAATTCGCCCTCTAACCACTGAGTCAATTCGCCCCCAAGGTTGACTTGGAAGACTGACTGAATGACTTTCACCTAGTAGGTACATCACAGAATGTCTTCCAGGATTGGGCAATTAGGCGTATTGGGGTTTCTGACGCTCGGTAGGGTTAGTGGAGATTTCAGCAAAATATTTCATGCCAACACTGTAAGCCGGTACCAGGTACTAGTGCATTGGATCATGGAGGTAGCTTGAACTGACGTGGAGCGGAGGAGGAAAAGTAGTGCTCAGAATCGAACATCTTATTCTGGAATTTTCATTGAGTAAGCTTTTGCTCTTCAGAA